AAGAAAAAGGGAGTTTTAATTTAATATTATATTGCCTAGTTTTTCCATCAAAGTTTTTCATAAATTATATAATCCACTAATTTGTCCATAACGCGTATAATCTAGCCATTAATCTAGTATAATATTTTAGTCTTCGGATTAATACTTAATGTTAAGATTTAACCAAAGGGAGAGATCAACATCTTCTTATTTGTTAAAAAATCTTATTCCGTTATTCGATAAATCCCCGCAAGGAGTGATATGATCCTTAACACACAGGATAACGTTTAAAGCCTAATCCTTATAATAATGACTTTGAAACCATCTCGGTCAATAATGTTTCCATTGAATCTTTTATTATTATTAAAATATTCCACAAATTATACCTTTTCAAAATCTTATTCCTTTATTCGATCTAGTCCCCGCAAGGACATTCTCTAGAAATACTTTTTGCTTCCTATTCGTTAGAATTAAGTTTAATACGTCAGGACAATTACGATCCTGTTGAATTACAAATCCTGTTAATAGTACGGAGGCTACTTAATGACTCCTCGTAATTTTATATAAAGTGAAACATAGGATAAGCTAAACAAGTCCAACATAAAATACCCACTGTGAAAACCGATCTTCCAATACTAACCAAAAAATCTCAAAGAAAAACCTCAAAGAAATTTTACTTATTTTCGTTTCTCCGTTTCAAAGCGATAAGAAATGCAAAAACAAATAAAACCTCCAAGATAGTACATAGATTGTACTAAAATCGGAACTAATATAAACCAAATCTCAGAGCCCCCGTCTTTTACAAATAATTCGGGGCAGTACTGCTAGCTATACAATATGGAGAGTTAAAATTTCTTGGTTTTTTCATCCAACCAGCCGGTATTAGTTTATAATTATAGTTCCAATTTAATTTATATTATAGTGAGTCTCCCTTTTTCTTCTTGTTGCTGAGGAATGATTCGAACATCCAAACCTAACACCAAAAGTTAGCGACTTACCATTAGTCTACTCAACACAGAAGAACTTTTCTTTTCTTTTCTTTTCTTTTATTTTAATTCCGAGGAACTCCGAGGAATCCCAGGAAGGGAGATTATTTCTATCTCCCTGTGACCCTCTAGAACTTTCCTCCGGAAAGAAGATATTGAGGAACGAAATTTAATTTTATGAGGAACGAATAAATATTAGCCTGCTCTGCAGGAACTTTCTTTCGGGAGGAATTTCCCATCCTACTTAACAAAAATAAAATAATATTTAAATTTAAGATATTTTGTCCAATCCAAAATATTATTATTAATAGTACACTAAAAACTATAATACTAAAATAGTTGGTAATTAAGCAAAAAAGATTTTTCTTCTTTGATATTGCTTAATGGAAGTTTCAATGCTTTTACTTTTAAGTATTTTAATAATAGTTCACTAAGATAAATTGTAATTAACTTACACTTTCAACAAATTTTATTAATACAATTCCTTGAGAAAAGAAGAAGCAATATAACTAAATTCCCAAGAAGCTAAGGGGTAGTTAAGTACAAGTTGCTCTTTAGTAAAGTTGT